TTACTCACATGGTGACACCACGGAATACGTCCTATACTAGGAAGGCAATGGTGGTCAAACACCTGAAGCCAGCTTTCTCATATCTTCCACTTTCAATGGCCATGTTTCACAGGCATACAGTAGAAGAGAGCGGACTGCTGTGCAGTACATGTGACTTTTGATAGATAAATGGATATCACGGCGGCGCCATAGATGGTGCAAATTGGCAAAAGCCAATCGAGCCTTTTGTATCCGTGCAGAGATCTCATCGGCAACTAACCCGCCAGGGTTGATCCTACTTCCCAGGTAAGTGAAGTGGTCAACACACTCAACCACTTCACTCTCTATTGTTAGCCGCAGTACCGCTGAAGACCAGTCATGAAGCAAAAATTTGCATTTGGGTGGTGAAAATCGCATCCCAAACATTCTCTAGTTCCCACTCAAAGTGTTCAGAAGACTCTGCATCTTGTCAGCGTCTTCACCTAACAAGACTATGTCATCTGCATATTTCGAGATCTAAAGAAAATTCCCCACCTATTGGGTCAACGTCTGTGTAATTAGGTGACGAGAGGGAAACCTCCATAAGTATATCTATGATAAAGTTAAATAAGAATGGAGAAAGTGGGCATCCTTGACGGACACCACTTGATGAGTATAGCTCCCTGGACAACTCACCATAGGCTCTAACATGCCCACAAGTGTTCCAGTAGAGAGCTTTCAATAAGGTGATGTACTTACTAGGCACGCCTTTCAGTGACAGACATTGCCATAATACTTCTCGATCAACGGAGTCAAATGCCGTCGCCTTTAGGTCGAGAAATACAGCTATTTTCAGAACTTTAAAATTGAGTGATTCATTGTTACCATGTTATCAGTAGGGAGTGAAAAAAAGTTTTGATCGCTCCACTAACTAAAGAAGTCGGATCAACTCTGATAGGTCAGTGACCGATGTAATCTCGACGTGGATACAAAAAGTTAAGTTGTCTTCGACCAGGTTGCATCATCTATGGCACCGGAGAGATACCCGATTGCTTACTAAAGGTCGAGTGTACTACGCAGCAGTACAACACATTCTCAGATTTCTTGACAAGGCTAGGTTATTATTGTCTTCGTGGGTAGGAACTGAACCATGTGCATACTCTAAGGCAAGTATATAATACTTATCAAAGCTCTCTGCTCGAATTTACACAACCGTGTAAGAGCTTATGGAGAGTTGTCATCAGAATTGATGGCAACTAGTGGTGTCGACCGGGGATATCCACTGTCACCATTCCTACTTAAATTTTTGATAAATGTACTAGTGGACATCACCTCAGGTAAGTTTGACTTCACAGGGATTGATCTACTCCCTAGACAGCGTATGGTTAACTTGGAGTATGTAGAGAATATTGTTGTGCTCAGATAACCGCTTATTTTTAGCTTGCACAGATTTCGGATATAAGAAAAGACACTGTCTGACGTGGCGTCCACCGAGCTCAACTCAGAGACGGACACAGATAGACCACATTGCTGTTAGTCATCGCTGGAGAGGATCGGTGGAAGACTGCCACTCCTTCTGGAGTACGTGTTTGGATAGCGACCATGCGTTGGTCCGAGCGCGTATACGGCTGTGTCTCAATGGATGTAAGAAAAATTTGGCCACAAAACCACTACGAGTGCTGCTAGAAAACGGAAGCACCAAAGCCGTGTTCAGTGAGAAGTTGTCTAGGCAGTTATCAGAACCGAAGACTATCATTCATCCAGAAGAAGCTTGGTACCATCTCTAGTCTGCTGTAAAAGCAGCGCTGAAGACTGTAACCGACTCCAAATAGTGGCTAAAAAGAGCCAGTGGATATCAGCAGCTTCGTCCGAACTAATGGGTGCACGTGAATGCATCCCTGCAGGCTCTGAGTACAATGAAGTGCAAGCGCAACTTAAAGGTAGATTGAGAAAAAGTCTACGCAACGACTGCGAACAGTGGTGGGTAGCGAAGGCTAAAGAGATGGAAAAGGCAGTGGCGATTGGTAACAGTAGACAGTTATTTAGACTTAATAAGGAGACTGAGGGGGGAAGGTCAACTGCGGTTAGTGAGGCTATAGCAGAGAAGGACGGATCTGCGATTTACTCGCAGAAGAGCCGATTTGAACTATGGGCAGAACACTTTGAGGAGCAGTCTAACTGGCCTCCAGCCACCATTATGTTACCCACTATCCAGTCGGATCCTGAATAGGACATAGAGATAGGCCCCCCAACACTAGAAGAAGTTGAAAAAGCGGTAGGTAACCTGAAACGAGGAAGGGCGGCAGGACCAGACGGACTACCTGCTGAGGTATTCAAGAATGGTGGTAGAGTGCTCTTAGTCAGGTTAACTGAAGTGTTAGCCAGTATGTGGGAATCAAATACGATCTCCTCTGACTGGTCTAAGTCACTGATTATCCCAGTCTTCAAGAAAGGCGAGAAGTCCTCTTGTAATGAACATAGTGTCTAAGATTCTAGGCTCTGTAATTCTCCTACGTCTGAGTGGAGCTCGTGGACAGCAAGCCCGAGAAAACCAGGCAGGCTTTAGTCCCGGTTGCTGGTATATCGACCAAATATTCACACTGCGCCAGGTCCTGGAACATATACACACTTACCGACACTGGCTGTATTTCTCGACCTAAAGGCGACGGCATTTGACTCCGTTGATCGAGAAGTATTATGGCAATGTCTGTCAGTGAAGGCGTGCTGAGTAAGTACATAACCTTATTGAAGGCTCTCTACTCGAACACTTGTGGGCATGTTAGAGCCTATGATGAGTTGTCCAGGGAGCTATGCTCATCAAGTGGTGTCCATCAAGGGTGCTCACTGTCTCCATTCTTATTGAGTTTTATCATAGATATTCTTATGGAGGTCTCTCTACCATCACCTGACTACACAGAGGTTGACGTAGTTGCAGGAGAACTTTCGTCACACCTAGAATATGCAGATGACATAGTCCTGTTAGGTGGCGATGGTGACATGATGCAGAGTCTTCTGAACACTTTGGGTGGCAATTTGAGAATGTTTTTCACCACCCTAATGCAAATTGTTGCTCCAGGATTAGTATTGAACAGTGCCTCGGGTAACAATAGAGAGTGAAGTGGTTGAGTGTGTTGACCACTTCACTTACCTTGGAAGTAGGATCAACCCTGGCCTGGTGGCTCAGTGTCCCATGAAATTTCTGCACGGATACAAAAGGCTCTGCTGGTTTTCGCCAACATACGCCACGTATGGCGCCGCTGTGACATCCGATTGTCTATTAAGGGTGGTGGGTAATGCACAGCAGTCCCCTCTGTTCCTGCTGTATGGTTGGCCGAAGTAGAGATCTTAGTATGTTTGGCTGGTATCTGTTTCGTATCTGTCAAATGTAAGAGGATGCACCAGGACTGATCTGTATCCACTCTCAGTTTAATGGTAGGGAGTGAAATGGTCGAATGCGTCGACCACTTCAATTACTCGGAGAGTTGCATCAACCTGGAACCGACTGGTTGCTGACGAAATCTCAGCTCGATTAGAGAAGGCCGATTTGGCATTCGTCAACTTGGATCACCTGTGGCGTCGACTGGCGAGATATCCGGCTGTCTATCACAGGACAATTATGCTGCACTGCAGTTCGTTCTGTCGTGTTGTACGGCTGTGAGACTTGGATGTTAGAAGTGAGAGACATGAAGCGGTTACTGAGTTTTGATCACAAATATCTTCGTAGTATTGCTCACGTTTGGTGGAATCACTGAGTAAGCAATGTTGAGGTCTGACGAAGGATACTAGGGATAACGCATGTCGGTTGATGAGTTTATGAACGTTGGTCGACTGAGATGGCTTGGTCATGTGCTGCGCATGGGGAGTCATCGCCTACTTTGACATGGAGGAGGTTGGATTAGGATGATAGACGGTTCAGGATGGCCAGAGTAAGAGGTTTCACCGGTTCATGAAGTTCGCTGCTGATGATCTGAGCCGTGTGGGGCTACAGAAACTGCCTGACTGGGGTTTGAAAACTACAGAAGTGTTTGTGCTGTTAGTAATATCGTGTAGAATGACAATGGGAACGTCACGATTAAACCATCCAACACCACTAAAATTATCTTCCTGAACTACAAATTTGCTCCATAATCTTAAAATCTTGCGAGCATGAAACACATCATTGTTGGGGTTATTATTATTATTATTAGAACACTAATGGGGTGCAGCAATGGCACGAAGAAATGCGCCACACAAAATAGTATAACAACATTGTGAAGACAAACGATGGGTAGTGGATAAGTAAGAAAGAAAGACATCATAAAAAGAGAATGATTAGAAAGGCAGTCCAGTAAGATACATTCGAAAGAAAACATTCATTACCTTCCAGTAGCAGAAGACGGAAGGAAGTTACAGGATGACCGCCACTGGTTTCGATTCTGAGCCATACCTAATAAAGTCCCAAGCCACTGAACTTCGTGATCTCTCGGACCCCACCTAGGGAGCTGTGATTGACTAACAGATTCTAACCCGATACAACTATCCTTCACCCTACAGAACCACTTCTTCGACCCATTCCTAAGGCTAGCAAACAATGAACAGTATGGAAGCCGTTGGAATGATATGCGTAACACATGTCCAAGCCACTAAAGCTGGTGTTTCCAGATGACTTCACGTATTGAATGACGATCTCCATCATGCTTAAACACATGCGATCGTACTTCGGAATTACTTACATAGTGTTGCCACCAGATATGAGAAAAATCCTACGGAGACACTGATGATTGAACACAGAGTCGTCGTCATTATCGGAAGTCAAGCTTTTTCAAGAGACAGATAGGTGATATATTAAACAACTTAGGAGTCATATGCACTAAAGTATGTACATTTGTTTTATAGGATTTCATAGTCCCAATAGTTAAAATTTAAGTACCTGTGCCAGCGAACCACACACGAACAAATAGAGCCTAGTCATGAGAATATCTCATGGGTAATCCCAGCTGTAATGATGATATTTTATATCTATTTAAGGTTGTAATGATATTTTTCTGCTAAACACTTTTCAGTTACTTATCATCCAGTCGGAGCATATTGGTTCTATTCTACAGTCGTTGAAAATATATCAGTTTGGTGGCCATTTTCACGTCATGATTCGTATCAGATTGAAACAGAATTTCTCCGATCTTATTATCCGGAGGTCATATCGAAAGATCCATTGTCTGCTTGTGTTTCCTCTTCGATTTCTGACTTGCAAACATCTGGAGTAGCACAATCTCACGAGATTATTGTTCAAGTTGATGGAGGTCGTTATGATGTTTGTGTGACGAAAAGGGAACGACGCTCAGTTTACTGGGAAGAAAACCAGGGAAGTTAGGAGAGCCACATGGTTTTATAAGTAAGATATACCTTTCATTGAGTTATTTTGTTATGCTTCTCCGTTATGCATTAATTCAACCAGATTCCTTACTGGAAATTTAAGTACAGTAAATTTGGCTACTTATGAGTAGAATCTTGTTTTAATTTCAAAATATTTTGAATGTTATTCTCACATAAAGTTGGATGGCATAGGCATACTGACTGAATTTGACAGAGAATATAGATAATAGTAGGATTCCAGCTACCGAACTTCTAGATTATCACCTAGATGTTTTACTGACTGAGTTGCGGGACCCCACTGCTAACCAGGTTTCCTAATATTGTGTATATTTGCTTACACGTCATTTGTCGTAAAATTTAAGTGAAACCTTTTCGTTCATTCGACAGATGACTAATCGCGGAACAACCATTGAAGCATTGTGAGTGAATGAAATAGTTGAGATAGCAGAAAATAATGTGCCTATTTTCAGGTTCAATTGCTAGAAGATTATATGGGACAATTTTGTACACTGGGAAAATATCAACGCGATATGGTTTTTTCCTACCGTCTCAAGATTACTTTATTTCAAGTAAAGGTAGGGCTTAGGCGTTTAGATAGTCAGCTACTAACGGCAGAAGACCGGTTTAAAACCACACACTCTCTCTTTCTACTATAGTTTGTTGAAGATAAATACTTATCGATAGCATTGGACAATGTTCATTGTACATCGTGAACTGAAAGAGGTTGGAAAAAGCAAGCCGCTGGATTTCGACTCAGTAACAGAGTAGTATCATGCTCTCTACGGGAATTGATAGTCCTGGGTTCAACCTCTAATTGTGTAGTGGGTGCAAACTGCTGAGGAGTCTCATACATGTTGCATGTTTTGTTTACTAACTTACGTAATCATATGCGGTTAAAACTCGGGATAGTTTGACGGGAACTCCTGTTTTTATTCTTTATTCGAAAAGCTCTCCACTTGAATTGATTTATATAGTTGTGACTATGAATTTCTTTTCAAGAAATCCGGAGCCATAGTGAGCAAGCAACTTCTCAACAATAAACCAAACGTTCGAGTTTCGCCTAAAATCCAGAACACAAGATTTGTCTGAAATACGGTTCTATATTAATAAACAATATGGGGTAATAAATACCGAACCGAACCTCGAATAGTAAGGTGTATGCGGGTTTGTCGCTATCAAAACACTTTTCAAAGAGTGCGTCAACAGTAAAAATAGCAAAGCTAGCAGAAGGGAATATAATGGACGCGCGTACTTTCTCACGATGAGTAAGGATGCAAGTAAACAAATATTCGAGGTAAAATAGGACATCTGGGAACAACGAAAGAAACCACAACATCATGATGGACTGTCAAAGATACTGATATCTATGGATGTTAAATGGTGGACAAGATATAATGGAACAGAATGAACAGTCAAGACTAAGGGTGAAGTAACATTATGAGGAAACATGAACGGTACTGCTTAAAAAATACTAAGTAGTATAAAACTGAAGATAAAAAGGAGAGAGAAAAGAAAACATCCCATAGGGTAAACAAGAACTAGTGAGAAAGGAATCAACACTGACTGTTTGTTGCGATGTATCAACATTGGATGGGATCTACCACTATGCTGTGACTATTTCTTTTCATCCGAACTACTGACCGATATTCTGTACATGAAATTTTCAAGATTACCACCTAGATAAAATAGATCCGTTTCTTTCTGTTCTCATTGGTGTTTTCTTGCTCTTTTTATAATCATTCATGAATCATTTTACGCATACAGTTCACATTCAGTTGATCACTACAGTTGGTTCGAATCCTGTCGCATGGCGCAGATTCTCATTTCACCTTCACTCAATAACTAGTATCAATGCATATATGAGTCATTGTATCATCTGAATCGAAATCGAATTGCACTCAACAACCAAGTTCATATTCATGCAGTAGGCAATGAGTCACATATTGTGTGAGGGCTAGTTATACTTCTCAGGGCAGCGCTCGAACTCGTGTCCCATTGGTTGAAAGTGAATAAGCCACAGCTCCACCACTCTATCATCCACAAACTCAAGTCATTCTACCATAATTTTATATCTATTTGAAAGTATATTTACTGCAAATTTTGTGACTTTGACTTAATAACTGTAAAATGTGGTGAGAAGTTATTAAAACGACGTTTAATATATTGAGTGGGAATTTTTTAAGTGTTTGATAATCAGGAAGGCGAATGATATTCAGTAAAACGTTTTCTAGTATCTAAGAGATTAGTGTAATCCCTCCCACCTTGTATAGTCGGAAAGGTGGACACTGAGGAACAATTAGTTTTTTAACATTATCTAGCCTAGTGTACTCATTTCATATATAATTGCGTTGATTTTATTAGGCCACAAAGTGAATCACGTGTACTGCCTTTTTCTGAGCGTATATGCGATCTATTGGAAGCTCAGTATAAGGTAACTGTGGAACAAAGTCAATGGGGTCGACGTTTTGAATTGCCTTCAGAAGATAGACGTGGTGGTAATGATATATTTATATTCTGTAGTCCACAGGTAAGTTAACTATTCATTATGATTGTATTTCTTTATGTTTTGTAATTCAATAGTAAATCATTGAAACATCAAAGTTTTATTAAGTTTTTTAGTGAATTTTCATGTTCATGATAGATTGAGTAATAAATAATTGGAAGTGAGATGAAAATTTGGACCGCGGCAGGATTCGAACCAGCGACCTCCGGGTTACCGCCCAGTACTCTACCAACTGAAGTGAAATGAAAAATTCAGGTCTGATAGCTCAGATTTGGGATAGTCAAACTGTTTTAATGTGGAATAAGACTACTATGATTTGCATAAGAAGCCTTTAATCTCTGAAGCCTAGTACAACCAATTGTTTTACCTAGAAGTTTTGGGCGAAAACACTTGAACCAACATGTAAAAAGCAGGTTGGTTGAAGAGAAGAAAAAGCAATAGTTGGAGGAACATTGGGAATCTGGTATCACTGGACATCTGTTTCGTCCTAGTATAGGACTCCTTGACAGTGCGCACCCACGACCTCGCCAGGTATCGAACCCAGAACCTTCAGGTTCCACGGCCATCACGTTTCCACTGAACCAGCCACTAGATCGGAATCCAGTGGTCCTGAGGAGTCCCATACTACGACAAAACAGCTATCAAGTGCTCTCAGATTTCCGATATTCCTCCAACTAATGTCAGTGCCAGGTGAATACTTATTTGAAAAATCACTAAATCCTCACAAACTCCCAAATCTAGTAATGCCTGAAAACAGCCAAGGCCAGTACAAATGTAATATAAACCGTTGTATATATATATTTTTAGGGTTACAATACACCGTCTGTTACTTTGCTGCCTTTTCTATTTATCAAGAAAACTGAGCAACCAACAAGGGATGGGATCTGAAGCCTACATTATACAAGCATCCACTTATACGTCATAAATAATAAGAATTATATCAAGTAGTCATTACAAGGATACATATAATAGGTGGTGACTTGGGTTATAAAACCTAATGATATTTATACTGGATAATGATTGAAGTTGGAATGAGAATTTGGACTGCAGCCGGATTCGAACTAGCGACGATTAAGTTTCCGGCTCGATACTCTACTAACTGATCTAGTTACGAGATAAGTCAGTAGCTCGTAGTGACTTGCTATCTCAGATAGTCGAAATGATAATAAGATAATTATCCAGTCAACTTTTGTATAGACAAAGGAACTAATTAACAATGACTTGAAATATATTTTATTATGATTGTTTTTTTAATTATTTTCAATGACACCAATTTTCTATTGCATAAGGGGTGTATTTTCATTTGTGTAATCCCGGCGTAGTATATTAGAACAAATAAAAAAATCAGCAAATATTTTGTATGATTACTGAATGTTTCAATCTTATTTGGAAGATCCTTTTCACGAGTGAGTATGAATCTGACATTAAGTTTCCAGGTTAATATTCAAGTTATGATACAGTAGATGGTGACTTGACCTGCACAATCAATCATTCAATTACAATAGTGATATGGAGCAAAGATCGATGTAATACAGGTGAGTGAATAAGCAAATCGGTCAGAGAGGTTTTTTTCAGTTGTGCGAGTAAGGTGGAACAAAAATAGGGTGGGGAAAATTTTTTTAGTTCGTTCATGAAAAGTACACAATGGAGTCATGAGATATGAAGGGTGAGAAAGAATAGATTACTAGTTTGTAAGGATGAATGTTTGAACATCAGGCAATAGATGATAAATGTTTAATATATTTTTGAGATGAATGGGGATTTTTAATTTAGAAGTAGTATTCCTCATGGACTGACATCAGTTGGGGAACCATTGAAAATCTGGGAGCACTGGACAGCCGTGACCTGTTGGGTCAACCAGTCGGAAGTGAAGTGGATGCTAACTGGAAGACCTTGGGTGACAGTCGCGCTATGCTGTGGATTGACAGAAGTTGGAAATTGTGAACCACTGGAAACCGACCCAGTGGCTGAATGGTTAACGCGTTCACCGTGAAACCAGGAGGTCCCGAGTTCGATCTCTAGCTGGGTCGTGGGTGCGTTGTGCTGAGGGGTCCCATACTAGGATGAAACAGGTGTTCAGTGCTCCCAGATTTCCAATGGTTCCCCAACTGATGTCAGTTCATGATGAATACTACTTCTAAATAAATAATAATAATGATAACGATAAAGGTACTTTTTATAACACTTGAAGTACGAGTGATTACAAAATTGTTCCTCCAACTGATGTCAGTCTTTGATGAATAACAACTTGAAAAATGGATTATGTTATGGTTCATCGAATGTGTATAACTCAGAAAGTGGTGTAAAATTGATGAAAATAGTAGATTAATGAAGTGCTATGTAATATGACTAGACAATCTGTTAAAATGCAACCAATATATCTCTATTTTCTTCCCTTTTCCTTTTTCCTTTTTTTCCTCGTGGTTAAGACCACCAAAAAATTCCTATGATCTAGAAAAACTTGAAAAAAGCTCTGCTATCGCAGCTCATGCCCTATATTCAGGTCATAAAATATCATTCGAACAGATAAAAGTTCTACAAAAGAGTTTTCTTTCTCACAAAGAGCGGACCATTGCAGAAGCTTTGCACATCTGTTCAAATCCTTCTTCGGTCAATAGAAAAGATGGGTTAGACATCCCACTAATATGGTAAACATTAATGACTCGCTTAGGTAGTTGTAAATAATATATGAAGAGAAGGTAGAACACAATTTCATTCCACATGATTTATTCCGAATTCACTCTTGTTTGAAAAGTTTCTGGTGTTATTTCTCTTAATCGTCTTAACCACGAAGGGAAAAAAATATTATTGGTTGCATTTTAACAGATTGTCTAGTCATATTACATAGCACTTCATTAGTCTACCATTTTCATCAATTTTACACCACTTTCTGAGTCATATACATTCGATGAACCATAACATAATCCATTTTAGAAGTAGCATTCATCATGAACTGACATCAGTTGGGGAACCATTGGAAATCTGGGAGCACTGAACACCTGTTTCATCCTAGTATGGGACCCCTCAGCACAACGCACCCACGACCCAGCTAGAGATCGAACTCGGGACCTCCTGGTTTCACGGTGAACGCGTTAACCATTCAGCCACTGGGTCGGTTTCCAGTGGTTCACAATTTCCAACTTCTGTCAATCCACAGCATAGCGCGACTGTCACCCAAGGTCTTCCAGTTAGCATCCACTTCACTTCCGACTGGTTGACCCAACAGGTCACGGCTGTCCAGTGCTCCCAGATTTTCAATGGTTCCCCAACTGATGTCAGTCCATGAGGAATACTACTTCTAAATTAAAAATCCCCATTCATCTCAAAAATATATTAAACATTTATCATCTATTGCCTGATGTTCAAACATTCATCCTTACAAACTAGTAATCTATTCTTTCTCACCCTTCATATCTCATGACTCCATTGTGTACTTTTCATGAACGAACTAAAAAAATTTTCCCACCCTATTTTTGTTCCACCTTACTCGCACAACTGAAAAAACCTCTCTGACCGATTTGCTTATTCACTCACCTGTATTACATCGATCTTTGCTCCATATCACTATTGTAATTGAATGATTGATTGTGCAGGTCAAGTCACCATCTACTGTATCATAACTTGAATATTAACCTGGAAACTTAATGTCAGATTCATACTCACTCGTGAAAAGGATCTTCCAAATAAGATTGAAACATTCAGTAATCATACAAAATATTTGCTGATTTTTTTATTTGTTCTAATATACTACGCCGGGATTACACAAATGAAAATACACCCCTTATACAATGAATCATAATAACTGGGTGCCCAAGTTTTTTTTCAAACCATCTGGTCCATTGTTGGTCAGGTTACCTTTAGACACCAATTTTTCTTTAATATTTTATTCATTTTTGTTTTAGTCTATGATTCAATATTTAGCTTGGCCATATGATATTTCTTCAGTCAATTCAAAGAATCGTGTTGTTCCTGGTACATCATCACCATCATTTCAATTAGATCCAAGTGAAGAAGTGAATTTAACTGGTCAAATATTTGAAGGACGTGTATGTTATATACGTCGTGGTTTAACAAAACAATTGATAGACCAAATTGATGAAGGTGATTATAAACCAATTGATCAATTATTTTTTATTGTACATGGTATTGGTTCAATATACAATTTAAAAGGACAAGGATTAATTGAATGTGTCAATGATATGAGGTAAGTTGAAAGAGAATAAGACTAGCGTTGAATATTATTTATGTCTATAAGATATCCGACTTATCTCTTTTAAAGACCAAGTAAACTGTACTACAGTGGATTCTGTTCTGTTATACACCTATAAAATGATATGTCTGTTGAAAATAAAATAAAAACATGAACCACTTACTAAGTTTTAATCATATATGTGTTTGTAGTATTGCTCACGTATGGTGAGGTGATATCATTGTGTGATGAGTAGTGTTGAAGTCAGGTGAAGGATGGTAAGCAAGATAGGCAAGTCGATTGATGAGGTTATAAACGTTAGTTGGACTAAAATAGATGAGTTGGAGATGTACTGCGTATACCGTAGCACCGCCTACCTTGACATTGTTATGGTTTCGTAGGCCAACGGTTATATATTCGCAATGAATATAATACTCACGCTTAGCTGACAGTTAACTTAGTACACAAAAGCCAGTGACTGTGTAACCCCGGGACGAATAGAGAGAGAAGATTGAGGCTGACAGAGTTTATTACTCCGAGAGTATAATATGATATATAATCAATCCCAAAACATGTGGATAAGTAGGTATACACATGAGAAATGACCTTGTCCTCAATTTGAGGGAGAAGCGTAGTGAGAAGGAGACTAACCAATCATCGATTTACATTACGATGTTGGCAGAAAATAGACTAGTAGTCATACCGTGAAAGGATGGTGTGGGAATGTTTTATAGAAAACCGGAGCATCACAACAGTCAACAGACATGCGTTGTTTGCGGAGGAAGTTGGATTGAGAATGTCCAGAGAAAGACGTGGTGCCAATCGATGAAATGCATGACTGTTGGTTTGAGCCATGTTATTAGATGTAGACTATGTGTTTGAGGTAGGTAGAGGTAGGTCGCTGAGATGAAAGGAATGAGTGATTGAAGACTGTTTGTGAGAATGGTGGAGATGTATAGAATTGTCAACATATCCCACTACTTCATCCCGTATTCTTAGACTAGAAGTTTGTGTATATTGTTCCTGAAGCGTCATATAAACTAATGAGTCAAGGATATCAAGTGAAGGCTAACAGTCAGCTAGTAAACTCTTGCTCTAACCTATTTAATAAAGATTTTACTTCAATGTGTGTGTGGTAAATTTTTCTGTTATAAGTATCTCATGAATCGTCTCAACAATGGATATACCTAAATATGTTAATGTGTACTAATCAGCATGCCTTTTTTTCTGCAAAGACGATCAATCAAGCGTTGTTAGGGAAAATTACCAAGTACAAATTGAATGCACAGAATCCCATATGTAAAAACCGGTAGTCATCAGTATGTTGAGTAATCTGGAAACCGTCAGAGAACATCAGTTGGATAATACAGAACTGTTGACATGAAGTCATTCATTTCCAAAGACTACAGACTTCACTGGATGAATATCTGAGTGTCAGTTGCAATACACATTGCTAAAAAAGTGACATAGATAAATCAAACAGTAAATTTCTTACTGAAGACGAGTAGTATAGGTGGTACTGTAGTGGGCGTTGCTGATAATGGATATAAGTAGTATGTGTTGAGAGGGTGGCAGAAATCATAAGGAATTACCAGCAATGGGTAGGGATTCCGCCAAGAGAAACGTAAGAGACAAGGCAGGTGTATGAAGAGCAAACCAAGGTAGAAGCAGAAGAGGAAATGAAGCACATTTTGCAAATGATGGCTTTAGTGCAAGGTGTACCATATTTAACGACTACTGTCCCACCTGCTGACAATAAACATGCTTCTTTGAGTATAACTCAACAACCACATAAATTTTTACACCTCATGTTTAGTGTTAAGAGGCTGAGTGTTTATTAACCTCGATGTTGTGCATAGTGAATTTCATGCTTACGACTCATTGAGTGAAGACCAAGTGCCTCTCCTGATACTATTTAACACAGTTATAAAATTGTAATTACGTAATGCAGGTTAAATCTATGATAAAGTAGGAAAATAAATAAGGGATTATGGATATATATATATATATATATATATATATATATATATATATATGGTTACGTAATACAGGATGAATCTATAACAGTCAAGACTTTATGATGGCCATGACAAAAATAAAGGTTGGAGGTCCCTTTTTTGGATGCATAACGTTGGTGCAGACATCTTCAGTAAACGACTGTCAAGATCCTTAAATAGAACGTACTTCGCTGATAAACCTCGAATTATTTTCTCCTGCAAGGAAATTATTGGTCAATTTGTGAAAGACAAGCCACATCAATGTGTGTATACCAGTTTACTTTGTCTTGTGGAGCTGAGTACATAGGCTATATCATGCGTCCACTTGTAAAACGTGCCCGTGAACGTTACCCAGTCTGGCTGGCAAAGTGGGAACGGAATTGTATCATCAGTTCAACAACAGAACACCTCATGAACTGAGGCCATTTAGCTTCTTATGAGAGTTCATTCAAAATTCTCTACAATGTCCGATCAAACCACTCGAAGGGAGTAAGATCAAGGCATTCGTCTATATCTGAAACACTAGCCACCCAGAGGTTCTAACCAGCGTTATGCGTCTAAAAAAGGTACCTCCAACCTTTATCTTTGCTATGGCTATCATAAAGCTCTGAGTAGCATAGATTCATCCTGTATTAGGTAACTATACATGTATTTTCATAATTCCTTGTTCATTTTCCTACTCTGTCATAGATTTAACCTGTATTACGTAATTGCAATCGTAAAAGTTAAATAAAGACTTCTGTGTACAGCGTAGCAGTGAATATTTCCAATATTCAAATGAAAAAAAGGATCTAACTTGAATATAAATGATAACGATTATTTAAGAGACAATATCATGATTGTGTTATTTGACCTCTGAGGAACATACTAGTAGATGGGAGGGATGCACAGGTGTTCGGGATCCATAACCTATTTTCTTTTTGAGAGTTGAGTGTTTACTAACCCAAAAGTGTTGTCTAATTACCGGCAAAAACACTATCTAAACAATTGTGTCATATTTAAATATGCCTCACTTCTTTGTGAAGTTAGGGCTGAGGATATCATCAAGCGCGGTGATGAAACTTACAACACAGGAAAGTATCAGGCATCATCAACTGTGAAATTCTTAATGATGTATAGTGGGCTAGCAGTGGAATCCAGGATGTGCGCTTCCTTCTATTTGGGACTCATCAGCTGGATGTACCTGGCTCCAAATGAGTGATGCTTTTCGCCTTGGGATTCGAACCCGGGACCAATGGCTTCAAATGCCATCTATATATATATATATATATATATATATATATATATATATATATATATATATATATATATATATATATATATAAATTAAAACAGGCGATATCGAGACATCCGCACAGGAGCCTATATGCTAATAGACACCGATCTATTCAGTCCAATCAAAGACGTAAACTTCTTGTTGATTTTTTTATGATGATGAAAAGGCTCCGCATAAATTAGAGTTAAAAAAGTTGTAGATCTTTGCATCAGTTTTTCTGAAAAGTATTTACTCATAGATTAAAAAGAAAAACGTTCAGTGAAGACATTTACTATGTTCTTAATGGTCTCATTTTTTGGATACGTTTTGTTTTTAAAATCATCTACTAGGTCAGTATTACAGTGATCGTAGTCTAAAGAATAGCATCGTTCATAATACTGTCTGATGTAGTTGAGCTTCATTGATTTGACCTTTTCATCGCACTATGGAATTTACGTATATATATATATATATATATATATATATATATATATATATATATATATATATATATAAGCTTTGAGCTGGTCTGTCTTGTTTTCTAAAGAGTTTTCTCTAAAATGCATGTGCTAATCTTTTGCGTTCGATCAATGATCTCTTCTTTCTTGTTGTAATTAGCAAAAGCCTGTTTGATATGTCCGTCAAACGTAAAAACATGAAGCACTTACTAAGTTTTAATTATATAGGTGTTTGTAGTATTGCTCACGTATGGTGAGGTGATATCATTGTGTGATGAGTAGTGTTGAAGTCAGGTGAAGGATGGTAAGCAAGATAGGCAAGTCGATTGATGAGGTTATAAACGTTAGTTGGACTAAAATAGATGAGTTGGAGATGTACTGCGTATACCGTAGCACCGCCTACCTTGACATTGTTATGGTTTCGTAGGCTAACGGTTATATATTCGCAATGAATATAATACTCACGCTTAGCTGACAGTTAACTTAGTACACAAAAGCCAGTGACTGTGTAACCCCGGGACGAATAGAGAGAGAAGATTGAGGCTGACAGAGTTTATTACTCCGAGAGTATAATATGATATATAATCAATCCCAAAACATGTGGATAAGTAGGTATACACATGAGAAATGACCTTGTCCTCAATTTGAGGGAGAAGCGTAGTGAGAAGGAGACTAACCAATCATCGATTTACATTACGATGTTGGCAGAAAATAGACTAGTAGTCATACCGTGAAAGGATGGTGTGGGAATGTTTTATAGAAAACCGGAGCATCACAACAGTCAACAGACATGCGTTGTTTGCGGAGGAAGTTGGATTGAGAATGTCCAGAGAAAGACGTGGTGCCAATCGATGAAATGCATGACTGTTGGTTTGAGCCATGTTATTAGATGTAGACTATGTGTTTGAGGTAGGTAGAGGTAGGTCGCTGAGATGAAAGGAATGAGTGATTGAAGACTGTTTGTGAGAATGGTGGAGATGTATTCACTCCTTGACGCTTAAGGCTTGAATATTTACTCTTACCCTTGTCTTTGTATTCTGCTGTGTGGAGTGTGACAACATGAGCTTTTTCACCTGTATGCGAGGTTCCACTCTGATTATGTTTGCATGATTTACTATCTGTACTTGGTATCAATTTCATCAAGTATGCTGTTGGCCCGACAGTTTTCATATCTATCTCCTCTCCAACAGATTGTTCCCAACGGAATGATTTCCTATCTACTATTAAACGATGGTCCTCTGAGAATGGTCTTATACTTAATTCTTCAAAATATCAGACCATTAAGTTTACTTTTAGACATGAACA